CGGTCAGAGGTTTCATAAGTGATGCGCATTTCGGTATGAAACGTCTATAGAAACTTACCAGGCCGTTGAACGTGCGTAATTGCTTGACGGTGGTCGGTTCTGGGTAATCCAGAATGGCCGCCACTTTGGTTCTAAGGGGTCGGATACCTTGAGCATCGATAGTGTGTCCCAGAAAGTCTAACGAGTCGGTTCCAAATTGGCATTTCTGAACGTTTACAGTTATGCCATGTTTTTGTAATCGTTCGAAAACAAGGTCCAGATGCTTGAGATGTGTTTCTCTGTCCGGACTTGCGATTAGACAGTCGTCAACATACGCGTGTACGAAGTTGAGACCTCGAAAAACGTCGTCTATGAATCTTTGGAATGTTTGAGCAGCATTCCTTAGACCGAAAGGCATTCGCAAAAATTCATAGAGTCCGAAGGGAGTTATGATAGCTGTTTTCGGTATGTCGTCAGTAGCCATAGGGATTTGGTTATACGCTTTAACCAAGTCGATTTTCGAAAAGACAGTTGTACCTTTCAAGGTAGCTGTCAAATCGTGAATGTGAGGCAACGGGTAACGATCGGGAATGGTTTTCGCGTTCAATCGCCGATAGTCACCAGTTGGACGCCAATCGTTGCTGTCCTTTTTAGGGACCATGTGCAACGGAGATGCATATGGGCTACTTGACGGTCGTATGATTCCTAAGTCCATCATGTGATCGAATTCGTTTTTCGCTAACCTTAGCTTTTCAGGAGCTAGTCGTCGTGCTTTAGAAAATACAGGTGGTCCTGTAGTCGTGATGTGATGTGTAACATTGCTGGTTACACACGGTAGTTTCGTTGCGTTTGTTGTATCCCAGGGTACTTATCGAGTAGTGGTTGATAGAGTGGGTCTATCATATGTTTAACTGTGACTGGGGATACTCTACAACCAGTAAAAGAAGTTACGCAAACGGACAAATTAGTGTTTCCGTCTACTAGCCTCCGTTTGCGAGTGTCGATGATCAGATTGTGGTGTTGTAGAAGGTCCATACCAATGATTGGCATAGAAACATCTGCAACGACGAAAATCCAGTGGATGGGTTTGCGTAAACCCACGTTAAGGTAAACGTACCTTTTGCCATACGTAGCGATCGGTTTTCCGTTTGCCGCCTGTAAGTTTAGGGTCGATTCGTGAAGTCGGTCGTTAGGATTTGCTGGGAGAACGCTAACTTCTGCGCCAGTGTCGACGAGGTAGCGAACTCTCGTTGTCACATCTGTGACGAATAACAGACGGCTTTGTTCGCCGGCTACGGTTGCCGTTAACGCGTGCCGGCTTGGAAGTTTCCCGAATTGTTTTTCGATAGTCGGTTTCGTGTTGGGAAAATTGCAGGGTTTTCTGCAATTTCTGGAAAACTTTCCATACTGGTTATGATACCAGCACCAGTCGGGGTTATCTGTCTCTCGTGGTCTAGAGACAGATCGCTTACGAGAAATGCTTCTACGTGGTGTGCGCGATCTCTTACGGTCGGTACGAAGACTAAGATAACGCGTGAGTGTGTGACATAAGTCGGTTATGTCATTCTGAGTCGTGTGAGGCTTTTCTTTGACTGAAAATACCTCGGTAGTAGGTTTCGTAATTTCTAGAATGCGGTCGGCAGATGCAGCTAGCTCGTCTAAGGCGTTGTTCTGGAACGAGACCAGAACTGCTTGCACCTGTTGGGGAAGTTTTGACAAGAAGAGTTGTTTGAATAGACCTTCGTCGAAAGTTCTTGGGCCTATAACCTCTCTCATCCGTTGCAACATGTCCGTCGCAGAACCGTGTTGCAGGTCGATGTTATTGAAGAGTTGATCTAACCTTTGTCGATCGGTTAGGTCTCCTCGTTTAAGAATCGAGCGTTTTAAGATTTCGTAAGGATCGGAAACATCACTAGTAAACATACTAGGTGTTACGTACCTGTTGAATTCGCGCGGTAGTGCCTTGACTACTGCGAGGAATTGTGCACGTGTGTCGATCACGCCGTGCTCGGAAAAGTCGGCTTCTGCGTAGCAAAACCAGGCTTCGATGTTGTCGGGCCAGAAAGGCATCAGTTGAAACGAAGGTGGGGACAAGGTCTTAAGCTTGAGTACTTTAGGTGTCTGTTCAGTCATGATGAAATATGAAGTACGATAATGAACGAGGGGAAAAAATATATATATCCAAGAAAAAAAAACGGAAAAAATCACAATGTTTAAAAAAAATAAAAAATAAGGCAATGATATATAAAAATCCCAAAAAGGAACAGACTCACAGTTGCAATAAGGTGTACCAGATCACGACGGTCTCACCAATGATGATGTCACAGGTATTCAGTGTTTGACAACGCTTCTACCAGTAACACCTTCTAATATATTTCGTTCCCACCAAGAGAAATCAAAAGACAGAGTCGAGGAGATCGGAAGAGTATATTTGGCGATGACCAATATATCGGAATTCTCTGATCTAATCTGGCTAGCGATTGCGGTTGATGTTGAGCACGGCGTTACCACACGTGATCTGGTGCGGATGCCTGACCGAGCGCCTTCAGCTAGATGAGTCCACTAAAACATATGGTCAGCATCCAATGTCGAAAACTTAGAGCTATTTATTTTGGGGATTTATTTACCGCTACAACAGCTTAGTCGCGGTTCTGTGAAGCTTTTGCAACAGTTCACTGTCTCTTCTTACACAGGGGCTAGTCGCTTGTATGCAGTACCCGGTCTTAGGACGAACAAATACAGTATACATAGTAAACAAGTTTCGGCATAGACATGGCTAAGACCCTACCTATTTATCACAAAGTTCTAAAATCTTTAGCGGCTGTTCCACGACAATGTGCAGTAGTTTGAAGTTTCGGCTAACAATGACCTCCAAGTCATCGTATGTCTGGACAAAAGGTAGCTTGCTATTGCTCAACGTGTATGTATCTGTACCTTGATGACCAATATGCATTACAATACACTTGGAAGTATTCATCGTAGACTGAAAAATTTTAAACCAGCCAGATAATTTCTGCAGATTATTCTGAAGCTCTAAATTGCCACCCTCATTTTTTGTCGCTCTCCATATCAGACTAGGATGGTCATGTACATACAAACGGAATAACACTAGTCCCAAAACTGTACCCTGAGGCACTTCGCTAAGCATAATACCCTAGTTAAACATAGTTGAGTTCATACGTACTCTTTGTTGGCGCCCCACTAGGAATTTTTTATCGACATTAGTAAATTACCTCCAATCCCAATATTACTTGACTTATATTACAGCCAGTTATGAGGAACCTTATCAAAAGCCTTGCTGAAGTCAGAGTAGAGTACGTCTATGACTGGATAATTCATTTGCGCCTACACTGTTGCTGTCAACACACTTTCCACTATCGATACCTAGTTTTTCACATAGTTGAACTTAAATGTATTCAAGTTTTCTCGAAATCCAGGGTCATCCCGAATAAACGAATGCAACCCAAATTAGACAGGAACTAAGTATATAAGCGGATACTACTAGTTATCGCACACCTGTGATCCGAACCCGGGAATATGTCTATTCCCACGACGTAGAAACTAGAGCTTATAATGGCCTATCGTCCGCTGACTTTGATGGTGACCCCATAGTGGTGCACGTAACAATCCACTGGGCGTCATTCGGCGATTGGTGTAACCCGCACTACGAAAGTAGAACTGCGAAACCACAGATTAGATGAAAAGAAGCAACCCTATCATTATGAGGTTGGGACACTACCAGTTGGATCTCTTTTTCAATTTAAATCTTTACTATCACAATACGAGTCATTCTTGTGTGCTGTGCCATACACATTTAAAGCCCTATGATGGCGAGTGCACACCCCTATCAGGATGAACCAAATTTGTACTTCTAGTTCTATTTTCTCCTGGTGATCGACTGGATCATGAAGACGTCAACACCTGGGGAGAAGCGCGACAGGTAGCAGCTAGGACGCAGCTGAACGATTCAAACTTCACAGATGATCTGGCTCTTCCAACGCACACGTAACGACAAATGCAAGAGACTAACAGTGTAACAACAGCAGGTTCCAACATACACAAAGGGAAAAGCAAGATTTTCTGATACAACACAGCACGCACCAATCGGATCACACTTGACGGAGAAGATTTCGATGATGTAAAAACCTTTACATATCTGGGCAGCATCATTGATGAACACGGTGGATCTGATGCACATGTGAAGGCACGAATCGGCAAAGCAAGAGCAGCACATCTACAACTGATGAACATCCGGAACTCAAAACAACTGTCTGTCAACCAACACCAAAGTCAGAATTTTTAATACAAATGTCAAGACAGTTCTACTGTATGGGATAGTAACCTGGAGAACTACGAAAGCCATCATCCAGAAGATCCGAGTGTTTATTAAGTTATTTACACAAAACACTCCGGATCCGTTGGCAAGACACTATCAGCGACAACCTACTGTGGGATAGAACAAACCAGATCCCAATGGAGGAATAAATCAGGAAGCGCTGGAAGTGGATAGGAAACAGATTGAGGAAAGCACCTAACTCCATCACAAGGAAAGCCCTCACATAGAATTTTCAAGGCCAAATAAGAAGAGGAAGACCAAAGCAAACATCACGCCAAGTAATGGATAGAACAATTTGATTGAACTAGAAAGGAAGGCACAGAGGAGTGGGTTGGACAATGCTGTTCAACGTCCTATGCTCCGTTAGGGGTAACAGGCGTAAATAATTTTTATTTTTAAAAAGTTGATCTACTTTTGAAGGTCTAACATTGAAATCACTTTGTTTTTGGTTTAACCAAAGTACAGGCACCTCAAACTCGATATTTGTAAATCATTGTTCATGTAGGTCTTTAATACATCCAAATCAATCTCGTCGTTCAGTTCTATGATTGCACATTACTGAATTGTTGAACTATAAGTTGTTGTACAGATTCCATACTAATTAATTACTAATAAATGTCCAATGTAATTATCAATCTTGTAATGAATAAAGAATAACTATACAAAAATATGTGTATAATGATAAATCATATTTGGAAAAAAAATATAAAACTTTACAAACTAATTCATGCAGTGTTAAATTTTATTATCAACTAAACCAAATCGTGCTTGACGTTTAGATAATTTTTCAGCATCTGACATACTGTTGTTACTGGATAAAACTAGACCAAATTTTTGTGCACGAACAGACTTTGCTAATTCATCATTAATCTGTGTATTCACTGATGACAGAGGTTTACCGAATTTCTCCAAACGTTTAGCTTTACGCTCCAAATCGGTTAACTACAAAGTTTTACAACAACAAAAAAAACTTCGAATTTCTGTGTTGGTAACATAACAATCGGGTGGTTCATCAAATTAAATTACATCAGACTTTTCCGATCACTATAAACCTAAGCAATCCAAATTAAGAGTCACTACTTTCGGTATATGTGTAACTAACTTCCCTTTTAGTCTTATTTGGGACTAGCCAGTTAAGTGTGGTACATGCACACTTTTGTTAATGTTTACATTAAAACTCGGACCTAGCACTTTTAATTCCAAATGCCAACGCGATATCCACTGGGCTACTGAGACCATATGGCCACTAACTTGTCCGACAGATATGGTGTTTATATCACTATTAGTAAGGGTTTTAATCATTCCGTTGCTAAATTTAAGGCTGGATTTCTGACTAGTCCCAGCTAGTATAAGTGGATCCTGTACGAACTGCCTCAACTCTATAAAATTTGTATAATCTAGCCGGATTGAAGTAATCTGCACGGGATGCATGTATGCAACAAAGACTGATTAAAAATGCAGTCCTAAATATCAACAACAGGATTATTCAGACCCTTACTAATCATGATGTAAAAATCTCAAATGTTTATGCACTTGTGACCAATATTATGGATTGGTATCAGTTAGTTTGGAAATAATATTTGATTGAGAGTAATCATTTTTGAAATTTTCGAAACTACACTCGCTGTTTTTCAATACATCCTTCAGTTGATAAATACGTGATGAAAGTTAACTTGGAATTTCATGATTTCCACGAGAAATTCAACAGTCCAAGCAGAAAAAGAAATCGAACAGAGAGAAACGAGTATGTGACTTGAACAGCGCATTCAGTGTTGACTGGTTAATTTATAGGAATCAGTCAGTTAGTCACAAGCGACGTAGAACCTGACACATGAGTGTCTCTGTTTACATTGACAATGTGTAAGTGAGTCTAATTACTAGGACAAATGCCAGAGTATTAGAAGTGTTCTAGAAGGCAAAGAGTAAATACATGTGACACAATGAGACCGACTCCGAGCCGTGTCACATAACACCCACAGCCAGGCAGTCTGGATCTCACATGGGTCAAAATAACAATCAATGACTTCAATGATTGATCCCATGTCTTAATTTGGCCGCTTCTAAAATTTTTCCAACCTACTGCAACTTTACCAAACACTGTGTCGAGACGGTGGTTGGGCATGCATAACACATGTTCCAGACACCTTAGTCGATGAAAGCTCACTCCCGCATTAAAAGATTTGCCATCTCTACCTAATGACCCGGGTCTAACCTCACTATTGTCCACTCGGTGGTTCCATGTAGAAGAAATATTCAGCCTATTTTAAAAGTTTTTAGAAATAATCCAAGGAGATGATAATTCCTAATATTCAATAAATAAAATTTGCTTCTCTTTCAACCACAATACTCTACACCAATGATTTTGCGGTTAGAATAAACTCTTGTAGTAAACGTAGACATATAATTGTTTTAGGTATATAGCCGATCAATCACAGACGGAGCCTTTGACCTAAAGGTCTGATCCACAAGGCAGTGGAGCATTGTAAGGAGATGCAGTCCCATGGTAGCCGGTTACCAACAATAGGTTCATAAACCATTTGTTCCTTCAGGATCCCCCAGCCCATGTGCACCATTGGTTTTAAATCTAGGTTTTCTAACTCTCTTAAGTGAATCCCCCATATCCACCGCCCCCGTGAGAGCGCTGGACATTCACTTTTCGTCCTATCGATTTCGTAAACAACACCCGTAGTGTGGAAGGCAGTGAGTAGGACTGCCCCTGGAGTGACTGTATACACGTGGCCATGTGAGGGCATTTCGAGAGAGAAAGCTGACTCTCCTCACTCTCGGCCGTACAAGGGTATTTACTCATTGTGATTTTCTGTTCAGTGACAATTATTCAGTTTGATAACATTCTTTAGTTAATAATCACCTAATCAACAGATAAATGAATTCTTCTACTACTACTATATAGACTTAACTTCTCATTGTGAGTAAGTGAATAAGAAGAAAGAGGATATCATTAATCGATATTGAAGTTAGAATTATAAAGTAACCATTCAATAGACGAATCTATCATTGACATAAAATTTAATAGAATCAATTTATTTCTAATATTATAATACATATATTATAGATGTTGGGGTGATCCAGAAAACTTCTCGCAAAAGACAAGAAAGGCTCAGGGAAACACAAAGAAGCATTTTATCCCGTCAGCGTTCACTTAAAGTTTTAGCCAGAAATATCAAGGAAGTGAAACGTCACATGTAGAGGTTTTGATTGGCTGATTACTACTCAGCTATTATGTTTAGTAGCATTCCAGAATCTTCGAGCAACTCAAGGACATTTAAAATATTATAAAAACCCAGTATTTTTTGTATTGAAATGAACCTTGGAGCAAAGTGCTTCTCGCGTATTTTGCGCCTTCTCTCTCGTGTTCAGGTCGCTGTGTAGTTCTAGCTTGGGGGTTACGAGAATAGCAGCTTAGGAAACGAATATAGCATTCAATTTGCAAAACTTATCAATAGAATAGATTCATTAATACACTAACCTTTTCTAATGTTTTACTAGTAGTAACACCAAATCGTTCAGCACGTCTTTTTAGTTTTTCTAATTCATTCAATTTTGAGGCATCATTTGAACATGCAGTATTTACAGTATTACTAATTGGCAAACCGAATCGTTTAGCACGAGCAATTGTTTTTTCATCATCGGACATAAAACGTTTAGTACGAGATATTAGACGCTGTAAAAACGAAAGACAATCAATATACAATAAATAAATGTTCTTAGAGAATAAATAATGATATAAATTTTCATTGGAAATAATCATTATGCACAACATCAAGTCACTCTGTTTTAAAAAAATATATCGAGGCAATCTACACAGCAATCAGTCAGTCAGAACGTAGAATTTTGTACGTACGTACATCAGTTCGAGTTACTATACCACATTAGCACAACGATGCAGTTGTCGATTCAAATCCCGTACTGATAGAGGTAGTAAGAGTAAAAGCAGTAATCGGAAAGATTAGCGTTTGAAGTTGATATTCAGGGAGTATAATACAGTGAAATAAATTTGGAAAGGGAAAAAAAGAAAGGGACATGAAGAATTCAGAAGATTAGAATTTGGGAGAACACAAAAAATTGATGCACCTGCGCCATTGCAAACGATTTTGAGCCATGTCATCCAGGGTCTCTAACATCGGTTCCTATCATCTCGCGGATCGCAATCAGGTAGTCTACACACATCAACATGGCTCAGTCTACTTGTCAATGACTTCATGGACTTGTGCCATGTTTTGGTTTGGCTGCCTCTAGCTTTCTTCCAACCTACTCCTACACCATAAAATATCGCACGTCGAGGCAGTCGGTCGTTGGGCATACGTAACACGTGTCCCAGCCATCTCAACTGATCAAGTTTCACTATTCATCCATTGATTTGCCATCCTTACCTAGTACCCGTTTCCTAACAACCACATTACTTACTCGATGGTCGTCTCAGGATATACGAGCAATGTTTCGAAGACACCTATGATTGAATACTAGTAACCTACGAATATCCAGTACTCTTACCAGCCATGTTTCACTGCCATAAAGTAGGACGGAACGAACTGCTGCTCAGTAAACACGTCCTTTGGTTGATAGGCGGATATCTCGCCTACGCCATAAATGACGCAAGTTGGCAAAATCTGGTCGAGCCTTCTGTATCCCTGCTGAGATTTCGCCACACACCAGACCACAAGGGCTCATTAGGCTTCCAAGATAAATGGAGCAGTTGAAATACAACAACTGCTGTATAAACAAACATGAAAATAATTATTATTACTGAAGTGATTAATCAGTGGAAAGTCGCAGTTCTACAGAAGGTCAATCAAGGTTCAAACATAGATCAGTAGTAACCGGCTTCGACTGTAACATTTGGAGGGTCAATTCTTGAAAAATTAAAGATATCCCTTGTTGATTAATGAGTGTTAACACTAACACGAAACTTAGGTCGAATAAGAGTTCCTATCATTAACCCAAGTTTAACCAGTGAATGTCAAAACATTCTCTATCTTTAAGATATCTCCATCTCGGCGTACGTATTGTATATCACAGTTGGTATTAAAATATGCAGTAATGAAAGTGATTTTGTGTAGAAAGAACAATATTATACTGATAAAGTTCAATGGAGTGGGAGTATGGTGGTTGAAACACTAGACTTCCAAGTAGTAGATCGCTTTATCTACTACGGTTCGGTCAACCGAGTATCCTAGTATTAGTAAAACTAATCCTTAACATATTCAATATAGCTTGAGGTCATGAGCATAAACTTATATACATGGTATATGTGTATCACTAAATTGGTTAAAATTTTACCTCAGAATCCGATAAATTTTTTATTTCCTCTTTAGCATTATCATGTGAATCATCAGTTGTATGTGCAATTTTCAGAACTTTCTCACCACTAGTCATTGAATCTTTTTCAGGTGTCAGTTCACTGGCTGGACGTTTACGTCCTACAGTTTTATTTGCAGTTATAGCTGGGAAGTTAAGGCCATTTGGAGATCCATTACTATTGCTACAATCCATTTCTGTTGTCGTAGTATGTGATATATTCACATGGTTAGAATCACCATCCTCATCATCTCCAAGCAGTTCTGCTTCATCGCCAGGTTGTAACAGTACAAATTTATTTCCTGAAAAGAAAAACAGATAGAGTAGTTACAAGTATTACAATAAAGACTTGAGAAAAAAACACTAAAGGTTTATGATTTAGCCAGTCGTAAACAATGTAGAGTCTGACACAACAATAAATGTGTACTTATGTTAGTCAAGTAACTTGACTACTAATTATAGTATTAATGTATTCAACTTTGAGCATACATTTATGCTATGATGGCTTGTGACGCTACATAATTAAACTGAAGTAGGCGTAGTTTCGAATCCGTGACTTATATGCAGCGTATTTAGGAAAACCTGTTACTTAGAAAATCACAGAAATATATGATTTAATGTAGCTGTGTGTTATGTTAAGTATACTTGAATACGTGTTATATACAATAATCGACAAATTTTCAAGGTAACTTCAATCAGGAAAGCAGAAATAAATAGATTGTATAGTGCTAGTGCGTTGAAATACAGCTTAAGTAGGATAGTATAAAAATATTTAGCTGAATATTTAACAATTAGTGTACATGCCAAGATTAGGCTTAGAACATACAGCTAGAAAAAACAGATTAAGAGGGTTGAACAAACAGTCATTTTGAATTGCCTTTTTTACAGAATCCCTCTTGGGTGAAAATCATTGGATTAAAGATGATAACTGACCTAGGAGTATGTTGACAGGAAGCTAAGGGCGTCCAAATAAATAGCACGAGTTTATAAAGGCAATGATCAGTGGTCTAAGCGAAGAAAAGGCGGGTGTAGACTTAGTGATTGAAATCTGAAGGATTATTCTAACTCCTGACTAGAGAGATTTAGTGGTATGATATGAAACTGGTCTCAGTTGTGTAGGTATAGTCGGCCAGTTGGTCACACGCAATATAAAATCTGGCACATATATGGATGGGTTTAAGTCTCTGCATCACATCGCAGAGAGATGTAAGTAGTAACAAGATCAGAAGTATTAGGAAACATTAGACACAGAAGACATGATTCCACAGAAAAATTATGGATAGGTGAAACGAAAAGTCATTGGGAATGATGTATAAACTTAGGATCTAAGGAGAGAGTAAGAATGAGTGAATTTTTGTTATTGCGAATGCTTTTAAACTACGTCAAACATTTCCAATCATTTGTCACAGCAATCACGTGGACTTTGACTAACGGGTCTGTACCTACCTACACAGCCGAGTTCAATAGTCAATGACCTCATGGACTAATGTTATGCATTGCATTGGTTAGCCTTATGTTTCTTCCAAACCTTTCATACATCGAACATCTCTTGTTGAGGTAGAAAGTGGTTGAATACACATAATACATGTCCCATCTACCTCATATGATGAACATTAATCCACTCTATATCTTATTCCAAATATTGAGCATAGTTTTATTTTATACTTTTCGTCGTCTGGTGCAATTTATTTTTTTTAAGTTACATTTTTATTTTTATCGTTAGTTATCCGTTTTAATCAGTAGAACCTTTCATTTTTCGTTTCTCACTTCGTTAAATTCCTCTTCTGTATTTCTGACTTATAATTTCTCTTATTACGACCCAGCTATTCCTATTACTTAGTACTCTTGGGCACTAATTCACTTGACAAGCCCCAAACCAGAACACGGTTGAGCAGGAGCGAAATTTATATTCCAAATAACAAGGGTAGATGGAAGTAGGAAGCACAATAAGAAAAACGTTAGTCTATTTCAAGTGTCCACTAGCGCTGGTTAGATAAGAAATAGCCGAACAACGTACACCAACACAATCCTGCACGAAACGCGATTTAATCCAATATATATTCCGCTAACGCTGATCTTAAATTGTAGAAACTTTAACCATTCTAGAGTCAGAAACTGTGAATGTACGTTTCCTTACGCGCTATCAGTCGCCAATTAATCAGAACTAGTATCGATTGGATTAAATCTTTGTAGTCGATCACTAAGTGCCAATTTCGAACTCCACTTCACCCACTTCGATTTGAGCAATTATTATTTATTTATTTATTTTAACACATAGATATTAGTACAAGGAGGCACAAAATACATATGCGCCACACATATCTCATTCGATATGTGTGAGGGCTGTGATACTGCCCGGGTGCCCAGACCGAATCAAGTGGTTTTCTTAGGGGACCACACCCAGAGCCTCCGACCTGAATGTCTAATCCACAAGGCAGTGGAGCATCGTAAGGAGATGCAGTCCCATGGTAGCCGGTGACCAACTATTGGTTTATATACCATTTGTTCCTTCAGGAACCCCGAGCCCATGTGCACCATTGGTTTGGAATGAGGGTTTTTCAACTCCCCTAGGTGGACTCTCCATGTACACCAACCCTGTTAAAGCGCCAAACATTCGCTTTTCGTCCTCTCAATTTCGTAAACAACACCGCCGACACGAGATGGCAGTGATAGGACTTCCCTGGCAGAGGCCATATACACGTGGCCATGTGAGAGCATTTCGAGAGGGAGAGCGGACTCTCCAGACTCTCGGCCATACCAGGGTATTTGGGGGCTGAGCAATTAAGTAGTACCATTAGCCCGCACACCTGTACTGTAGCTCATACCCAGGCACCTAGTGAATGAGTTCGTTCACCTCTTTTTCATACTAACTTATTCCATAGGTTTGTGCTACTACAAATGACACGTCTCGCTAGAACGATTCTCGAATTTCTCTAGACCAATCTACATACGATACAGCATTGCATGCAAAGTGAGATGGAGAAAAAAAGTCATTTGAGTTTGTCTGCAGATATCCTGCCAGGATATCAAAACTATTATAGATACACGATACCGAGTAAAAAATCTGTGACAACTGAGGTTGTATGAAAACACAGAATATGAACTAAATATACACACATACAAAATGAATATGATCAATTTACCGTGCATTCCGTAATACGTGAGATGAGTTCGACTTTTGTTCCTGTAGATGGAAGTTTGTTCTCTTTACATATTTTTTTCAGGTCGCTTAACTAAATTATTAATTGAAATAAGTATACACAAAATACATTTATACCTTCAATTTGTGCAAATCTTCAACACTTGGTAAAGACTCTGACATAGTACAAGAAGAGATAAGGATCTCTCAAACAGAACCGAAAACCTTTTAAAAGAAGACAAACGTGAATTAAAGCAATATAGTGGAAAAATTCTGTTGAAAACAGAATATAATTTATGGAAGACCTTTGAGAAATGCTTGAGTGACCCTGAGGATATTCAACTAACTACAGAGGTCAAAAAGGTACGTATCATTGTAAGGAAACAGGACTAGGATTCAATTAGATCAAATGGGGTAATTACAGTTAGAGTTTTCATCATGAACTGACATCGGTTATAATGACAAAATGCTATTGAACAATATAGATTACTGAACCTTGCGCCGAAATCCAAGACTCGACATCTTAAATCACATTGGTTCGTCAATAAATTATATTATTGAAAAAATGTAGTCCAGAAGAACAACACAGTAGCGACTTTTAACCTAACATATTATATGCTTTCGTGCAACAGCTTCCGCTATGCCCACATAATCACTTACTGTTAAACCTCGTACTTACTCACAAGTTAATTAATATTAAACAGGAGACTATTTCACTTTACCATTACGGTAAATACACTTAGAACTCCAATATGATATGATGCATATTATTTGCACAATTTACTATAATAAATTAATTTGAATAAATATTATGGTGAGACTATAATTTATGGACGGCTTTTGAGTGGTGCTAAAGTGGCCTTGAAAATGTCCACCTAATTACTAGAGCTAAATGAGTTATAAACCTGTAGGGAAAGTTTACAGTGTGAAAAATGAGGATTATGATTTACAATTGATGTTTAGGGTTAGAAATTAGATATAGGGTTTTAATCATGAATCGACACTAGGACGGTTAGTCACACCCACCTTTAACGTAACGCCAACGATATCGAGGCGCTTATGCCTTAAAGTTCAATGCCCAATATATAACAGGGGCTAATATCTTTGTCATGAAATTGCATATACCGATAGATTTCTTTAAGCTATTTCCTGTTTATTATGGTGCAGTTAAGACGTTTGGTTTTGCTTAACAAGTGGTATCTAGCCACTCGACCGCACTAGTTTCAGTCAAATTGTCAGTTATTCATAAGAATGCTATTCCATGTGCCATTATCGACAGTGTATCCCATGAGAGCGGGAGGTATGAATTAGTTAGTTGCCGCTTGAAATGCAAGGGATAAAAGCTTCCGATTGGTTTGGTCTACCGCAGCCCAAGCTCTGAGGTAAATGAGGTCTTGCTAAACAGTCTAAATACCTGGTCACAAAGTGGTCGATGTCTAATCCTAGGAGACTTAAACGCACTCATTGTAGACTGGAGAACTCTGCGAACTGAGTTGTCAGATAATTCCTTCGAGCATGAACCAGTTGATGCAGTTATCACATGTGCCCTGGTGCAGCTTGTGAAAGAAGCGACTAGGTATGACCCGGACACTGAATCATCCTTACTAGATCTGATACTCACTCACTATGTGGACGACGTTGCAAACCTTCATTATATGCCACCACTAGGTAAAAATGATCACGCAGTTTTAATTTTCGACTTCCATATAACTGTCAGTCACGAGCACGCGTCAGCCCAATCCAGACCTAACGTCCAGATATCATGCATTTTGTATCGTTAATAGATTGGACAATAGACTCAGAGTCCTCAGTTGAAACGGCCTGGGACGCATTTCGAGATTTATACTTGAAAGTTACCACACCTCACATCCCTTGGACTATAACAAGGGGGCCGAGAATCCCTCCACCACGGTTCAGTATGTTGGTCCGTACCCTTCTCCGTAAGAGAAGAATATGGGATAGATTTAGGTTACTGGGAATTGATGAGGCGAAATTTCGGTATCAAAAAGCTCGTAATACCCGTGCTTCAACCCTCCGTAAGTCTAGAAGGCTGTACGAAGAGAAAATTGTTAAGCGATCCATAGAATGTCCTAAACGCTTGTATTCGTATGTAAACCAAAGGACAAAAAGGAAAGGAAATATTCCGGCACTATGGGGTGACAGTAATGCTTCATCATTAGTGGAGAACGACTTTGGTATTCTCAGACTACTTTAGCAATGTTTATACCATAGAAAAGCTCTTCACGTCAGTCCACGCAAATCTTCCATACACACGTTGAACAGCGCGCCAATTAAAGTGTAGCGACTCACTTTTATCACGAGAACACGATTGGTTTATTGAAAACAATTATTATTATAACCAATTGTACCAGTGACTTTAATGTTCTCTTTGTTTAACTGTGCTAAAAACATCCATTAAACACACTTTGATTGTGACCGCGCGTGAATTCGGTTACGCTCTGTAACCAAGCTTGTATCCTTGCACGATCTCAGTATTCTTTCGATACCACGAGATCGCCAACAAATATGTCTCGACTTGGTCCATTAACTGCCTTCTAATATTTCGCTTCCGGGGAATTTATTTGGCACGTGTTTCTCTGTAGCGGTGTTCATAGTCAATTTCGACTCGACACCACGCTACAAAAGTACTCGATATCTTTGGTCTGCTAAATAATCTTGACACAGACAAATTCACGGGACCCAATGAACTGCACCCTAGGTCATTGGATGAACTAGCCAACATCGCTGCGGACCCTCTAATTATACGCTTTAATCCATCCGTAACCCGGGGTCGTTTACCAAAAGACTGGAAGAACGCCATAGCAAGTCCTGTCTTCAAAACACGTACGAAATATAAACCTGAAAATTACCGACCTGTTAGCCTAACTAGTGTGGTTATTAAAATCTTAGAAAAGATTATTCGCAAGGAGTTGCTGAGTACCTCGATGATAACCAGATCCTTTCGGAGAAGCAGCACGGCTTCAGATAGTTTATTCTTGCCTCACGAACTTATTAGTGGCTCGTGAAAGCTGGTGCACCCTTAAGGACCAAATGTTACCTGTAGACGTAGCCTTTATTGACTTCAGCAAAGCTTTTGGCAAAGTTCCGCACAACCGACCGTTTTATAAGTTAAGAAAAGTCGGCGTTGGAGGCAATCTATTGATGTGGATAAAAGACTTCCTAGTTGAGCGACAACAAAGAGTACGGGTGAACTTGCAACTGCTTAGTTTGCCAAAACAGTATAGTTCAAGTATTCATTCACTTCCTTATTTTGTATGGGCGTTACATTTCCTATTATCTTATATCGAATATCGAGAGGCTTTGTGTGTCTGAACAAATAATCCCACGCTCCACTGTGACTGCGCGGAATTCTAAATAAAGACCTATTCATTACTTGTCTGGTTTCTTCTATCAATAGCACGAGGGTTACCTAGAGGCACGAAAAACTCAAATTACTTAGTGGGGTTCCCCAGGAAACAGTTTTGGGTCCAGTGTTATTCTTCCTGTATGTAAATGACTTTCCTCATCTACTATCATCATTGGTCATTATATATGCTGACGATGTTAAGATATGGAGAGCGATACGAAGTAAGGGTGATAGCTTAGAACTCCAAAATGACCTGGATAAATTATCTGAATGGTCTCAAACCTGGCAGTTGCCAATTAATACTTCCAAGTGTATTGTGATGCATATCGGTCATGAAGGTACAGATAACTACACGATGAATAACACTGAGCTACCGTTGCCCATACACACAATGACTTAGAGGTCATCGTTAGCCAAGACTTAGAGACTACTGCACACTGCAGCGCAATAACCGCCAAAGGTTTTAGAACTTTATGTTCAACACGTAGGGCTTTCAGTCGTGTCGACGCTAAAACTTTTTTGACTTTGTATACAGTGCTCGCGAGTCCTAAACTTGAGTATTGCATACAAGTGCTTAGCTCCTGCTTAAAAAGGACAGTGAGCCTTTGGAGAAGATTCGGAGAGCAGCAACTAACCTGATTCCCGGAACAGTGAAGCTTCCGTATGATGGCCAAGCCAAACCTATTCCGTTGTCATATCAAAGAGCTAGAGGCGACTTGACTACAATTTTCAGATTGCTTAGTGATAAATTTGCAACTGATATGCCCTCATTTTTCTTGCCTTCCAAAACAGAGAATTTACGAGAACACTCCATGAAATTTCACAAGCCCAGAACAAATTACTTGTCAGTTGACTATCGACTTTCCCATCGAATCATCAACGAGTGGAGTTCATTACCTCAGCACATAGCTGGGACCCACACGTCGACTCTTTCAAAGAAAGTTGGATCAACTAAGAGACCACCATTGGCAGGACTAACACAGACCATCAAGCCTCCTGTCCTTTCCAAACTGAAACGGATATATGGATTTGCACGTTTCGTAATCTGAGTGAATACGTTTATCTGAGGATAGCAGAGTTTCTGGACACCACTGTCTGTCACATTACCATGCAGGAGGTAGAGTGGTTTCGATGTGAAATATAACAAAGTGAAAATTCGAATGCTACGAAAAGATAATTGTTTTGAGAAATAATAAACGAGTTGGTCATTCAATCGATAATGTAGACAGTGTAAAAGAGAGAAGTGTAAGGATGAAAAAGGAAGTGAGAATGGTAACAAGCGATATAGAAAGTAGTTACTGATATGCAGTAAAGATAACAGTGGTAAATTACGGGACATGGGTCAGGCACAACTGTTCAAAGCGGAAGATGGTAATCGCGAGTGATTACGTGTTCGGCAAGTATACTCTTGAAACTATTCACTGAATGGGCTTTGGTTACTTTCGCTGGGATAAAATTTAAAGTTCTGTCAACTGTTAATGAGGAAAAGTGGAAGCGTATCTGTACTTTTGCACTTCGGTTTGCAATGTTTTGTTAATCGCATTGAGGAGAGTGATCGTGATGTTCTAGTAATATCTTGGTGTTAGGGCTTCTTAAAGAACTAATTGTTTTGTATACTTCAACTCTTATCCAATCATCGGAGTCCGTCTTTGTAAGATTTTCTCTTTAGCGCTATCACACAATTAGCTGCCCGTGAAGGTGCCTCAGGTATTTGAAGTTTGACAAGGCCTTTGCACGTAGCGCCTTTATAATCGAAGCATGCCAACCCAGTCAAATCGGAAGTCAGAATTAGGGAGCTTCGAAGATATATCTGAAAGGCTATCGATATATCGAGAAGCATTTAATATAAGTTGGTTGACGGTTGTAAGAGATGCGTAGCACGGAGTACCCACTCGTGATATGGCAAGGATGTGTGGTCGAGAGCTTTTAGGTAGATTGGTTCAGTAAGACCTATGTAGTCAACATCATTGTAGAGGACTTACAGGGCTGTTTATTTTGAGGATTTACTTATCGCTACACCCGTCTCTGTACTTGGTCTAGGAGATTTGTCTCTTTTGATGAGAGGTGATGTGGCAACATTGTTGACCTCAAGGTGAGGCCGTGCGTACTTTCAAAGAGAGCGAGGAACAACTTTAGGTTTACTGCATCAGGTTGTCTTCGCAAAATTTGGAGAACTATATCTGCCTTGGCTTCATCATTTACGTAATTGGAGCTGGTATCTAGATTATCTGCAGTTACTAGATAGCGACAACGCTATAAGGAGACAATCGGTGACACATTTCCATGAACAACGTCATTTCTTTGCGTCGGATGAGGCAGAATGTCCATGACACGACATTTCAACTGCTTAAGTTTCAACTCTTGGTTTTCTACTGTTGGAGACGTTAGATCTTCAGAACTTACTTGAGAAAGGACCGAATTTGTAATTTTATTTAGAAAATTTGAATTTCTTTGTTTTCGCGCCAAAGCGCTCTTCTCACCTTCATGTCGTACTTCCCACTGGGAAATATCTTAAATGCTGTTGATCCGTTGCATCTTTTAGTATGCTATTTGGTAACTCTCCTCAAGGACGGTTTTGCACTGTATATATATGTTTTGAATTGTGTTTGTTGTTATCGTTCGTTTCTGGTTGTTTATAGGATATACTTTCCATTCCAAGCATGGAC